TATATATATATATATATTACACAGTTATAACAACGAAATATTCCAAAAGTATTGCCCACAAAGAAAACGTTACTAATATTTTTATTCAGCGTTTTATACATTCGCCGATATTTTTTATTTAGCTAACGATTGGACGCTATTATACATCAACGAGGCAGAGCTTAATGCAAATCATTGCAATAAATTATATATTATTTTATATCACGACGTTCTTATGGATTAGGCGGCATAAAAATGAGTGACAACAGTCGTTTATTAGCTGGCTCTGCCACGAAGATGTATGTGTCTTTTCATCGAGCAGCGCACAAAGACATTCGCTCTTTATTCCTATTGCTTACTAATTTACGTTTTGCTTTCGCTTTTGTCGACGTTTTCATTTACGTATACGCGAGAAAAGTAGTAAAACAAGCACAAGCGCGGAATGTCCGAGAGCAAAGCTCGAAGGGAAACACAAAACGAGACGAGTTCTGTATCTTTTATTTAATAAATTATCCTTTATCAGGTACGGACAGCAGTTTCTTGGAATGTCTGGGAGTGTCTATTTCGGTGTTTGCGTCGGCGACGTCTCGACGCACCGCGTCCTCCATAGGAAACTCGTAGATCGGTTTAAATCCACCGAAGAGCTGCGGTTTAAAATTATCGGCGTCAAATTCGTTCTTCTCGGTTTGCGTTTCGATCTCCGAGCTAACAATCTTCGACTCGCCTCCGTCGCTATCAGACCTCCTCTCCGCCCCCGCAGGCGGCTCGACGACGACGACGCTCCAGCCGTTTTTGCTAGGCGTCTCGGCGCTTATACTGGCGACGAAAGGGGCCATAAAGTTTTGCGGCGCCGGTGCTGAGCTGGAAGAGCTCGATGGTTGTTGAGAAGGTAGTAACACCGTTTGCTTCACATCGACATTCGCGGCAGCGTCCGCGTGGTCCTCATCATCGTCGTCGACGTCCTCATCAAGACGATGAATCGAATACGGAGCGTGCGTCGGCGTGTAAACGTAAGCGATTGGCGTCGAGGTCGATGTCGAGGCGGTCGACGTCGATGCAGTTGCGATCGATCCAGTGCGATGCAACGTCACGGAAATTGTCGCGTCATTCTTCTTTCGATTAGAAGTCTGTAGAAAGTCCTGCAAATACGGGATCACGTTTACCGCATCCAGGTGCTCGTCCTTTCCGTTTTTCTCTTGCTCGCTCACGACGGAACCCTGCTGCTGCTGTTGTTGTTGTTGCCGCTGCTTGCTGGGTATCAATAGCGGCGTTTCTTTCACACTAGCGGCGGGAAAGACGGATGTCGGATCGGGCCGTTCCAGAGGATATGGAAAATCTAAGGCGACCAAAGGTTTCCCGTTGTATACAGTATGTGCCTCTTCCGCCGGATCGTTCTGAAGCAAAGTGTCGGGTGGTAGCGGTCGGTGAGGGCCTCGCGTACCCACGACGACGCTCCCGTCCTTCTCGTTGGAATCATCCGGATGTATATTGACCGCAGTGTTGACCGGATATACAACGTATACAGGTTGCTCGGGTATTTCCGCCGGATCGTGATTGTCAGATTTTCTACGTTCCGCTTCATGCGCGAATATAGATTCTACCGGTTCGTCGGTCTCATCGCTCTCATCGTTTTCGTCGTTCTCGTCGTTCTCACCGATCTCACCGACCAATTCACCGTGATGCTGTATCATTTGCAGAGTCGCGACGCGCGGAGGATCTGTCGTACGTCGTTTCGGAAACAGTGGCGGTCTTGGCGGTGTCATCGGCGGTTCTTCCGGGTATCTTTCTTCGTTTTCTCGTTCGTTCACAATTTCGCTCTTACCATGATCCTCCTTCCTACTCTCGCTATTCTTGCTTGCTATGCCTGCCTGACCGATACCGTGAGCCAACAACTTTGCGTTCTCCTCCAGGCCTACGCGTGAGATCGATGGTGCCACGTGCGGAGGGCGAAGTCTCGTTCGTATCGTCGATTCCGTCTCGTGCGGCAGAGCGATGTTGTCCACATTGGATGTCGGCACGAAAGCTAGTCTAACCGCGTGAATCGGCGGCGGCGGTGGATTCAAACGTTGAAGATACGAGGGTGATGGTGGGTGGAGAGGTCTTCGTGAGGTGGACAAATGACTCGGCAACGGCTGTCTGATTCTCGTACCTGACGGGCCTTGCCCGGCTGGCATCGTTCCTATCGCGTCCGGACCGCGATGACCATGTGACGCTTTTGCGTTAGGTCGAAACTGGGGCAGGATGTTAGGCAGCTTCGTGTCTGGCGAGTATGGACGTTTCCTAAGTCCCGCGTCCAACGGAGGCACCGAGTGCGGCTTGATACGCAATGGTGGTGGCGGCAGAGGTGATCTCTGTGGTAATCTTGAATGATCCGGTCTTGATACATCGTATTGGTAATTATAGTAGTATGACGGTGGCCTGGGACTTTCCGCAGGAGGTATCAAGTCGTCGGCGAGCTGTGGCAAGTCTCCTCCAATCGTCGCCGAAACATCGAGCTTTGTTTTATTCGTTGTCGTTGTCGCCATTGTCGTCGTTAACGTCGTCGTCTTGGGAGTAATTAACTCACGAATGCTGCCATCCGCCTCATTTACGATCACGATACGCTCCTCCGTCGTCGCCGCATCCTTGTCCTTCGTTTCATCGTTCGGAAAAATGACGTAGCCAGAATCTTTTTCTTTGCTTCGGTTTTTTGTATCCTGAATTATTGCGCTCGCGATAGCGACGAGAGGACTCGGAGACTTCATCGGTTCGATCTCGTTGCTGGTTTTTAGGGGACTGGGTGGCCACCATTTTTGCGTAGTGCGAGCGGGACTCGGTAATTCAGTGACGGAATGAGCTGGTGAATGCCCGTGTTTAACACCCTTCATCGTTAGGCTGTGCGGATCGTTGTGAAGCGGCCAGAGCGTGGAGTCGGTATCAGACAAACTGCCGTAAAGATTCTCTCCGACGGCTGTTCCAACCGAATAGTAACCACCTTCGACGCTTTGACGATTACCGAGAACAAAAGACACGGTATCCTGATCCGGCGGAATCACAATATTGCTCGTGCTCTCTATCACGGTCCCCGCTCCTATTCTGTTCGGTTCCAACTTGACTGGCATCGGGTTTGGTCTATATCCGTGACTGATTATATCATCGTAACGCTCCGTGACACTCTGCCTTCGATCACTGTTCAAGGACGAAGGAACGATCGGATGTTGCGGCATCATTGGGAATTGAGGCTGGCTGTTTGCCAACGCATTTTCTCGAAGCGCGGACGGCGTCGAAGATACGGATCGCGAAGGCATGATCGTCTTAGCGGCCGTTGTCGTAGTTCCTGCCGACGATGCGGTAACCGTTGTCGTGGTAGTGGCGGCGGTTGTGGTGGTTGTAACCGCCGTCGATGCTATTGGAGAAGTGGTTGTGGAAGATTCCGATGTGATCTCCTTTAATAAATCTTTGAACGGTAAAAAGTAATCGGTCTCTTCGCTGTTGCCATCGCTGTCACCTTCACCATCGCCGTCGCCCTCGCCTTCACCGTCCGACGACTCATAAGTGTCATAAGAATCTCTATATTCTTCATTTTGCGCCGGTTTCGTTTCAGGTTTTGTGTGAGACAGCACAAAGTTATCAAGATTCGAATGATCTTTGTGAAGAGGGGCGGTTTGCGTCTTCTCCATCATCGTACCATCGTTCGTAGTTCGCATTGGGACGTTGCTCGGATTTTGATGAAATTCCGCGTGACCGGAGGCGTGCAGCTTTTCGATCGGCAGAAGATTCTTCTCGTTTTCCACCTCCGTACGATCGATCGAGTGAAACGCGATCGGAGTATTGGACGGTTTCCACGTGGTTATAGCAGGTGCTTTGGTCGAAGTAGAAAGCATTGTTCGCGACGAGTTCACCGCCGTCGATGCTATTGGAGAAGTGGTTGTGGAAGATTCCGATGTGATCTCCTTTAATAAATCTTTGAACGGTAAAAAGTAATCGGTCTCTTCGCTGTTGCCATCGCTGTCACCTTCACCATCGCCGTCGCCCTCGCCTTCACCGTCCGACGACTCATAAGTGTCATAAGAATCTCTATATTCTTCATTTTGCGCCGGTTTCGTTTCAGGTTTTGTGTGAGACAGCACAAAGTTATCAAGATTCGAATGATCTTTGTGAAGAGGGGCGGTTTGCGTCTTCTCCATCATCGTACCATCGTTCGTAGTTCGCATTGGGACGTTGCTCGGATTTTGATGAAATTCCGCGTGACCGGAGGCGTGCAGCTTTTCGATCGGCAGAAGATTCTTCTCGTTTTCCACCTCCGTACGATCGATCGAGTGAAACGCGATCGGAGTATTGGACGGTTTCCACGTGGTTATAGCAGGTGCTTTGGTCGAAGTAGAAAGCATTGTTCGCGACGAGTTCGTAATCATGGTCGGTACGGAAGTCGTGATTGTCGGCGGACTCGTCCTCTTCGCTTTATCATCATCGATAGCCGTGGTCTTGTGCGTGCTTGTTTTCGTTATCGGCGCGTAAGAATTCTTAATAGGACGCACGTACAGATCGTTCTCGAGATTATAAGGTCTGTGATTGTATGTGCTGTAGCTATTGGCGCCGCTCTGCACCTTCGTGTTCGCGTACGAGCTCGAGATCAACGGGTACTTGTCGTTCCCGTATTTGTCCGAGGAGTAGTGAACGGGCAGATTGAGGAAATCGTGAAAATTAGCATAGGTGTTGATCTCGTTCGGACTGACGTCTTCGTTCTCCTTGCCCTTGTTCTTTTTACGTTCCGGATATACATCCTTTTCGTCACTGACTCTATCATCATCCTCGCTCTCTTTATCCTCACGCTCGCGATAATGATCGGTGTAATTGAGGGCTTTGACGGGCGGTGCCTTCTCGAAGTCGATCTTACCAGTTATCGGATCTTTCTCTAATGAGAACGGCTTACCTCCGTTGAAGGCGAAAGGATACGGAATATGGTAACGTGGAACGTCGCCGTCGTTGTCGCCGGTTGGAGTATCAGCGGTAGCGCCAATGGCAACGGCACTCTCCTCCGCCACGAGATCCAGGTCAAGGTCATCTAGACGCGTCTTACGCCCTAATGTGGAAGAATTCTCGATCTTGCCGGATTGTTGGGACCCGGCATTGTTGTCCAGGTGGCCGCCCATCAGATATTCGCCCGACACACATGTCAGAACAGCTAGGAGCGTCCATAAGCGTCTCCGCATCTCATACACACAATGTCTGGAAAATATTGTTTATAATCAATTTATATAATTTCTTGGCACGCTCCATCGATTTAGATATCTAGATTTTTATTTTATAAATCTTTTCTAATCATACTGTTTTGTAGAACACAGATCAATTAACGGATGTGATAATGAAAGAATATTTAACTATTCAATAATATACACGAACTTGGTGACATTTGTATAATGAAAATTATTTATATGCAAATTTGTAAATTTTTTATTTTATGTAATATTTTTTTTCGTTTCTCATGCTTCTCTAACGTTTCATATTTACGCTCATTATACGTTTCCGGTTTACTTGTGATGGTTCTTATCTAAATTTTTTATGCGGGTATCTTTCGCTTCAGCGAAAGTAGTAGATAGTAGCATGAAGAAAGAGGGAACGACCTATTTAATATGATTCAATATCTGCCCCCCCCCCCTTAGATTTATATACATGTCATATTTATTTATGCAAAATTTTAAACGTTTTTTGTATAACAGATATATTGATCGAGTAAACTGAAAACGTTACTGTAAACGCGTCATCTCATGTCTGTAAGTAACATAATAATGCATAATGCTGAATGAATCGCTAATTGTAACGGCCTGTTAGACTGTTACTTGATAAGTTCCGACTGTCGAAGCTATTCTCAGAACATATAAATAAACGATAAATATATGATTTTCGTACGTATCCATATTTTCGGGGAAAAATGCAAATTTATACATTAACACAGACGTTACAATGAACCCATAATGTATAGAACAGAATATCGTGTTACGTCAGATGGAATTCCGTTTCAATGTATAACGGCTTTTAGTAATGGTATCTCTCTTTCTCTTTTTATCTCTATCTTTCTTCATCTTCCGGCATAGCATCATCTCTTTCTTTTCTCTTTCTACATGCTTTCCATATAAATCGATAGCACTCTCTGTCCATGTCTCTCCCCCAAGCTGTCCTACAGTTTTGATAATCCTCTATTTGACTTTAATATTCAGGTCGAATAACGTTATATGGTGACATGCATTCGTCCGCTGAAATCATCTGTGTGCGTATGCGATGACGCCGTTCACCATTCATAACATGATTATAACGTTCATGATTTTATGGTCGTGACCCGTGATGCTTCCTCTGACATGGTGAATGGAACGCGCCAGGTGATGTTGGTCAGTATGACCCACTTTGTTTCCTGTTTCGGGATTTTGCCCCCGAATTGTGTAATTTCAATTTCATGTACATGACCGTATCGTGAATCGTATTTTATATGCGCGATATTTTCGCCTAGATTTACAATTGTATCTATCAATATGCGAAAAATGCAACATTTTCCAAATTTTTAAAATATTGTCATTTTTTTAGACTCGATAAATTTTATCATCTATGTGTGTATCTATACATACATGTATATAACAGTTTAATATTTATTAAAAAAATTATTTTAGATATATACATATACAATATATGCAAATAAAAAGTGTTATTAAATATATTAATTATTTATTAATTAATATATTAATGAGAGAGATAAAGAGAGATCCTCTCTCTCTCTCTCTCTCTCTCTCTCTCTCTATCTCTCTTTCTCTCTTTCTGTTAATTTCCTGTTGTTTTATTTATTTATCTTGACATCCGGCCAATCTATTACATGAATAATAACGTAAAAAGTTTTTCATTATCAATTATCTATATATAATTTTTCACAGATTTTTTATACCTTGATTATGTGTGGAAATATAGTGGATCTCAGATTTAAAAGGTGACAATCGAAGCCTCCTCTTGGGTTCGCGCGATTCCTGATGTTATTTACTGATCCATCGGCGTGCGATTTTTGATGCAACACAATTTTGATGGAAGTTGATAATCGCGGATAACAACTCCGTTGAAAAAACGTTTCTTTTGCAATTAGCGTGTTGAGAACGAAAAATCAGAGCCCTGAGGACTCGTAACCCTGGAGGAAGGTCGTATAGCGACTGAACAACCTTGTCGTCAGGACGGTAGAAGGAAGACGAAGAGGTGGTAAGAGGACACGCGGTGGAGGAAAATCTCGCTCCGAATAAGCCAGGTGTAAAAAGAGTAGGAGAACGCCGTTGCCAAGCAAAGAAGAAATGAGGAAGCGAATAATTATGGGGAGTTAAAGAAGATAGATAAACCCTGTATAATATCCGACAAGGTAAACAGATAATAGAAGAGTATGTTTGTTTGTAAAACAAAAGATTAATGTTTGCATGGAAAAAGAATATAAATAGATTTTTGTTCTCGTTCGGAATGCACTTTAAAAGTAGCTGTTTTTCCATAAACGCTTCATCTTTACATTAAAAGTTATGAATTTAATGACATATTACTGTGAAATAATTAACTATTGTGAATAACTGACAGAGTAACAGCAAAATTAGATAACGGAAAAGATATTTAATAATACCCATAAGATTTAATCTGGCAATATATGTGTATGAGTCGAATTCTCTCGTATAAATTATGAAAATAGTGCGAGATAGAAAGGCTTCATAAATTCAAACGGTTAATGGGCAATATATATTACTTTATAATGTAGTTCTATATTAATTCGATAATTAATTCAATGATTTTCAAGAATAACGAGGCATCTTCGAGGAAAAGGCCGCAAAAAGATGGAGCGTATCAAACTCTCGTGATCGCGATTGCCGCTAGCATTACTGTAATGTATAGCAGCACAAGGTATGGACATCATCGTGTAGGCGTCCGTTCCTTCTGTTGCTGCTGCTGCTGAAAGATACAGAGAGTCAGGGGCGGAGAAACGGTACGTAAAACAGTTAGACGACGACCCACATCGAGCGGAGAGCCTCGGCAGTGGCCGTGGCTGACGTACCAGTTTCCTCGACCTTGCACCATAACTAAGCGTCAAACGAACTTCTCAAATTTTATGAGATTCTCGTTACCGATTCGTTTTTTTATCTTTCCAACGAAAGATAACGAAAAGTTAAATAAATATATTTTATTTTTTTATTTTTTCGTTGCTTTTTAGGAAAGTCGAACATCTGATAAATCAAATTCGGACGCACGCGTATCGCGATGAATAATATTGCATTATATTAATAATATTTTTCTCTATATATACACTATAGATTATTACAGAATCCGGAGAAAAAAATTAGCAATCTTAATTAACAATCCTATTTTGCATTTTCTTTGATAATCGGAATAACAATATTGAAAATAATGTGGATACATGAATATTAATTCTTGTTTTATTGCATTAAAAGTAAACTCTTAATTAGTATATATTATAGTATATATATATATATTATAGTATATATTATATATATTATATATATTAGTATATATTATTTAGATATATTTTATCGCTGTTTACCCTTTGGACGACGCTTTGAATTTCGTCACATCATTACATTACATAAAACGTTAGCCGCGCATGACATTTATCACTGAATCCACGTTCGCGATACGCGTGCGCTCGAATTTAACAAATGTTTGACTCTTACTACAATCTTCATAGTCATCTTAGCCTGGCATTAATCACAAAGTTTATAAAGTACGCGCAGTAACGGCCAGCGCACTTGTGGCTTACACATTGTATCTTCAAGAATCACACTGTTGAGTGGAAACCGCTTTTCATTTGCGCCTTGTAAAACACACTCGTAGAGACAGTTCATCTAGATATGACGTTGAGAATCACGAGCGTTATCATTTTTTGTGTTTTATTAAGCGAGGCGTATAAGCTCGGCGATGCGCAAGTGAATCATAGTAAATATTGGAAGGAATTTCAAGAGTTTCTTAAATGGAAAAGAACAAAGCAATCGAGCGAATATAGTGTCGATTTTCTGAGGCGTGCGATCGGATTCGATGATCGAGGCGGTCAAAGGACTAATAACCGAGCCATACAAGATTTACCACCGAAAGATCAAACAGCTTTAGTGGCAAGATACGTCGTTAATCAAGCTGGTAATTGACCAATATAGTATATCATTCATGAGAAAATTCTTGACGTAAAAATAAAGTATATAATGTATGTAGTATATAACAATATTATACTTTTAATAAGTTATTTTAAAAAAGAGAAAGGCTCTGCAGTGTAATAATATCTATCAATTTTCTACTAATATATATCCATGTATATATGTCTCATATACATCTGTAATTTTCGTTTTTACATTAACACTTTTCGAAATTTAATTAAATACAATGGATAAATTTTTTTTTTGGTACGTGTACGTTACAATATAAAAAAAAATATTTATTCATTTTAACTATCGAAAGTCAACTTTAAAATGGACCCAGTCAGCCACATCTGTTCTAACAGATATTGCCAAGTGCTTGTCGGTTTTTGCTGACAATCTGCTGTCAGATTGTCTTGCGCAGATCTTGCTCGATTTTTGGCACCAATTTGACGTCAAATCATGTCAAGCTTTGCTCGTTTTTTGCCGTCAATTTGCTGTCAGGTTATGTTAGCAAGCTTTGTCACCAAAACACAAGCTTAATGCGGACACAGATGGCACTGGATTTGTTACCAAGTTTTGAGCGAATTTGATGCCAATTTGGCAACAATTTGTTATCAAATTGCTTACTGGGGAACTATATATAATATGCGCGCGTTTCATATCATCATCATAACTTGTTATATATCTTACAAAATATACACGTATGTATATATATATAGTGCACGTAGCGTGCTGTTTGCTCTTGTCATCTTACCGTTGATCTTTTGTGCCAAGCACGTATTTGGCTGGATATCAATTAATAAAACAATTCGTGCTATATCGAGTATATATAGAGAACGATTTTTTTGAATATTATGATACTCATAAAATAATTTTACTGTTTAAAGAGATATCAAAGAATAGAAAGCTTTGTTAAAAGTTTCAAAATTCTAACATTTTTATTCTAAAATATTTCAATCATTCTCTTGTATATAAGATATAAAAAAAACGGGACATGACTTGTGAATACAATTCGATCCATCACATACAGTCGAGTGCACTAATGGTTGTGCCCGACATTTACATTCAAATATCTCTGTGATATTTATAATAAAAGCGTATCTTTCTACTTACGTAATTATTAATATGATTATATTTTTTTATGTTCTATGTATCGGCAGATTGGGCAGCCGTAGCGACAATAAGCACGCGAAAAGATGTTGAAACATTTCCCATTGCGAATGTAATTTCTATCGGCGATGGACCTATTGGAAATGGCAGTGGAATGCCGTATATGTATCTCACTCCTCTTGACTACACCGCTCAAGATCTTGCTGTAAGTAGACATCATATACATGTAATATCGTGATATATAATGCATATCCTATCCAGAATATTTGACGCGCGAGAAAGGAGAATGTGAAGAGAAGGAGAATAAATCAGAAAATTTTCTTATAAGAAAAATTTTAAGATATTCTATTCGTGCGATGTTACATTAATTATATTTTCAACTGGTATATCATATATCTTCTGCTAATCATAAGATAAGCTGATAATAATTTTTTCGGCAATAAGTTATCGTATAATTACATTATCGTATAGATAATTATAATTAATCATCCAAATTCGAAATATGTTCAATTATCTTCAACTGATATAATCAAATTAATTATTTTGCTTTGAATGACTTTTAAATCAATCGCTTGTTGATAAGAAAATTGCGAAAAACATTACAGCTTGTGGCTTATATACATATATATTTTTTTTTTACATTAGAATTATTAATCTCTTTAATACAATATTTTTATATCGTATTGATAAAATATCTAATTTATCTACACGTAAATCTGAATTTTTTATAACGATTATATCGTATAAATGCTTCATTATTGCAGAGAGACCATCGCACAACTATCCTAGTATCATTAGCACAAGGAAACTATTGCAAAGATAGACAATGGGATCCAATGGATCCGCGATGTGCTAGAGTTCTACTAAGTGGAAAAATTATAGCAGTCAGTATAAATCGTTACATTCTATTTATATTATTCGTATTATATTGATTTTAATTATTATTAACATTCTCAATATTTCAATGGCAGATAAAAAACGATACTACAGAATATGAGACTGCAAAACAATTATTTTTTGGTCGTCATCCGAAATTGGAAAATATGCCCGCAGGTAATATTGCATTTTACGAAATGTTATTTTTAAAATTTGTATAATATTACATTGTGTTATTTATTTATATAGATCATGGATTCTTTTTTGCAAAATTAAAAATATTTGCGATTGCTTTGTTGAACAACTTTGGTGGACCAAAATACATTTCCGTAGAGGATTATTTTCATCCGCCAGTGACTAATCGCGGATAAATTACATGAATGTTTGCTGAACCAGTGTGTCTAATAAGCAGATATTCTGTCATACTAATAAATTTCTCGAGTTTCAATATTGTGAGACGTTGCTTTCTCAGGAAAAGATTTTATAAAAAGAATTCATATTTTTCGTAAACACACACACATATATATATATATATACACAAAATTTGTGTGCTTGCAGGTAGGAGAATACGTGGCTGCGTTTATAGAATTTCTCGTATCGGAGGTTCAAGTTTCCTACGATGATATCCATATACTGGGGCATAGCTTAGGCGCCCACGTAGCCGGATATGCTGGTAATTATCTGTCGGGGAAACTCGGTCGAATTACCGGACTTGATCCGGCTGGACCAGCGTTCGAGACGCCTTACCTGAAAGATGCGAAAGAGCGGCTGGATTCTACAGACGCCAATTTCGTCGATATTATACACACTTGTGCTGGTAGTTTGGGCATCCTCAGACCCATCGGCCACGTAGATTTTTATCCGAACGGCGGAACATTCAGACAACCCGGATGCCCAGTTCTTTCATCCCGTACGATATCGTCAACATATTTGCAGCTTATATTTAAGTTTTATAATATGCGACAGAACTAATCTAAAATTTGCATCTTTAGAATACTGTAGTCATGGTAGATCGCACCAATTTTTCGCCGAGTCTATCGTGCATGCTGACGGCTTTCCCGCTCTACAATGCGCCAGTTGGATAGATTTCCAGTTTGGTAAATGCAGCAATAATTCCACTCTGATGGGTGAATTTATCAGTATTGACACTCGGGGCATTTTTTATCTGGAAACCAACTCAGAACCGCCATTTGGAAAAGGCGTGATATAAAACGAAGATGGTGGAGATAGTATAGAGATAATGTAACTTTGCGTTTTTACTTGTGACACATATATATATTTTATTACAATTATATAGCAATATCGCAGAGAAACGTACAAAAGGGTATAGAAAGTATTTTACTTGTATGATACCTATTACACAAATATATGCATTACGATATAAAATAGGAGCGTAATAAAAAAATGACGCCTATTGCACATATATGTTGCATATAGATTTTACTGTTTAAGCAAGCTTTGCTACTCCATCGGACAGCTTCTCGATTTCGCCGCAAAACTGCATGCGATATTTTCGACGAACTGTATCCCAGTCGACGACGTTGTCTATCCTCGGAATATTACTCAAGGAACTTTGACTGTTGGCCGGACTCGATTGAAGTAATGAAAAATTAACGCTGTCCTTCGTTCGTGGTAATGGAAGTACTCTATTATTCTAAAAAGACGGAAAGAACAGATACAAATACCCCGGAAATTATTTAATAAATTGCACATCTTCAAAGATAACTGGAAATTTTTAAAACTTTGGAATGTATAATGATAAACCGTAATGATAACCGTAAATACAATATAATATTAGTAAATTATAACATGTTTACAATATATAAATAATAAAGCAAAAATGGAAATAAAAATTTTAAACGGCTAAATAATTATAAATTGCATCGATACGTCTTCCATAAGTATATCTGGTATCTACGTACGGCAGAAAGTGGATATTTCGGAAAGTCATTTTGATGCATATTGGGATCCATGTATCCATGGGACCTGGCAATCTTTTGCTTTGCAATTCGTTTTCTCATACAGACACTCTTCAAATACTCGACCCATGTGGTAATGAGATTTAACGGAATTGGCGCAGTTCTCGTTCTTGAAAAAAATAAAATCGACGTGATAAAATTACAATAAAGATTTCCAAATTTACGGTAAAAATGCATAAAAAATCACGCATTTTAAATTTTCTAGAAAAGCCCTCTCTCTGATCAAAGAGTTACGTGATGTTAGAAATTAAGGAGTTTTAAAATAATCTTTAAGAGAGAGAAATCTTGTGGAAATGTGTGGAAATTTATTTACTTACTTTTGCATCTTACGTATTAGTTTGCTGAGACCATACTTCCATTCGATATCACTCTGTGATATCACTTTGTGATATGTATCGCTCATCATAGCAATTAATAAATTAATCAATACTATAACACTGACGAGCATGTATGAAGAGAATGATACCTGTAGAAAGGAAAATAATTATTTGTTACATATATGGGTACATAAATTTTTAGGCAGATAATGTATAAATATTGGATGATTGCATAAGTTCGTGCCCGATTTTCATAGATGGCATTAAGTTACTGCATGGCGGAGTTCTATTGTTTTCGTGTGGTAATTGTTGCTTACACCGAATAGATGACGTTGTCTTATGTCAATTTAGCGTCAGACATTGTTCAGATAAGTCCATTTGTGCATAAGAGAAATCATTAAAAATGGAGAACGAAAAGGTGCATTTGCGGCATGTAATGTTATATGAATTTCGGAAAGGCGTGAGTGTTGGGATTGCACAAAAAAATATTCAAACCGTTTATTTGGACCGCGCTCCTGCTCTCCGAACAGTCAAAAAGTGGTTTGGCAGATTTCGAAATGGTGATTTCAACATGGAGGATCAACCCCGCTCTGGACGGCCTTCTGGCATTGATGATGACATTGTGCATGCCTTAGTGGAAAGAAACCCAAGGATTACAACTGAGGATATTGCTGAGAGGCTGAACATCGATAATTCAACCGCTTTTCGTCATTTAAAAAAGCTTGGATACGTTTCCAAGCTTGATACATGGGTGCCGCATCTCCTGACTGAAAGGAATAAGCTAAACCGTATGACTGTGGCTCTTTCTCTTCTCGAGCGTAACAAAAAAGAGCCTTTTTTAGATCGAATGGTAACAGGCGATGAAAAGTGGATTCTCTACAAAAACGTACAGCGAAAGAGGACATGGAAAACAGCAGCTGAAGGAGCAGAACCCGTAGCAAAGGCTGGCTTGCATCCGATGAAGGTGTTGCTGTGTGTTTGGTGGGATCGCAAGGGAATTATTTACTTTGAGCTGCTCCGACGCGGCGAAACAATCACGGCGGACAAGTACTGTGAGCAACTAACTAGACTCGCTGCAGCTATTCGAGAAAAACGTCCGATTTTGGCCAATCGAAAAGGCGTCATCTTCCACCACGACAATGCTAGGCCACACGTCGCTCAACAGACGCTGCGAAAACTGCAGGAGTTGCAATGGGAAATTCTGCAGCACCCGCAGCAACCGATATTCTCCAGATATTGCGCCTTCAGATTTTTATCTGTTCCGGTCTTTGCAGAATAGTTTAAATGGCAAGAATCTCAATTCCGAGGAAGCTGTCGAAAACCACCTTACAAACTTTTTTCAAGAAAAAACAAGTTCTTTCTTCAAAAATGGAATCGACAAGCTTATAGATCGTTGGAAAACCATTGTAGAAAAGAATGGAGACTATATAATTGATTAATAAAAGTGTTATCTCTAAAATATAATCTATTGAAGTTTATATTTAAATCGGGCACGAACTTATGCAATCACCTGATAATATAGGCACCAAGAAGATAAACGTATGCGTATTACGCACATAATACAAAATGTAAAATATTGAATAGTTAATAATTATATTAACTATACGTATATAAAAAAATTCAAATATAACTATATAGATTTTAATTTCTAATTAATAATGGATATATGCTTATTAAATATTTCTGGCAAACATTTTTACGAATAAGAAATGAATATGTAGATAACACGTGGATCTCTAATAAATATCTTTCGTAGCTATTTGGTGGACATGGATATTATGTAGATAACATGTAAATATCTAATGAATATCCTTGTCAGATATTCAGTGGACGTGGATATGTGGACAATAATCGGATATCCACTAAATATCCTTGTCAGATATTCAGTGGACGTGGATATGTGGACAATAATCGGATATCCACTAAATATCCTTGTCAGATATTCAGTGGACGTGGATATGTGGACAATAATCGGATATCCACTAAATATCCTTGTCAGATATTCAGTGGACGTGGATATGTGGACAATAATCGGATATCCACTAAATATCCTTGTCAGATATTCAGTGGACGTGGATATGTGGACAATAATCGGATATCCACTAAATATCCTTGTCAGATATTCAGTGGACGTGGATATGTGGACAATAATCGGATATCCACTAAATATCCTTGTCAGATATTCAGTGGACGTGGATATGTGGACAATAATCGGATATCCACTAAATATCCTTGTCAGATATTCAGTGGACGTGGATATGTGGACAATAATCGGATATCCACTAAATATCCTTGTCAGATATTCAGTGGACGTGGATATGTGGACAATAATCGGATATCCACTAAATATCCTTGTCAGATATTCAGTGGACGTGGATATGTGGACAATAATCGGATATCCACTAAATATCCTTGTCAGATATTCAGTGGACGTGGATATGTGGACAATAATCGGATATCCACTAAATATCCTTGTCAGATATTCAGTGGACGTGGATATGTGGACAATAATCGGATATCCACTAAATATCCTTGTCAGATATTCAGTGGACGTGGATATGTGGACAATAATCGGATATCCACTAAATATCCTTGTCAGATATTCAGTGGACGTGGATATGTGGACAATAATCGGATATCCACTAAATATCCTTGT